GTTTTTGTGGTTTGCAGCAACTCTGTGTGTAGTTAATTATTGTCAGCCCTACGAGTGTAGAAATGACTTTAGGTAGATTCCTACACATAGATCAATGGGACGGACTAGAGAATACAGGAATAGGTCCATAGAAATATGACCTTTTTTTTTTTTTTTTTGAGACAGAGTCTTGCTCTGTCACCCAGGCTGGAGTGCAGTGGCCCAATCTCTGCTCACTGAAACCTCTGCCTCCCAGATTCAAGCAATTCTTGTGCCTCAGCCTCCTGATTAGCTGGGATTACAGGCACCTGCCACCATGCTCGGCTAATCATTGTATTTTTAGTAGAGACAGGGTTTCACTGTGTTGGCCAGACTGGTCTTGAACTCCTGGCCTCAAGCGATCCGCCAGCCTCAGCCTCCCAAAGTGCTGGAATTACAGATGTGAGCCACCCTGCCCAACCCTGGCCAACTGATTTTTGGCAAAGAGGGAAAGACAATTCAATGAACAAAGGATACATAGTAGAAGCCATGTAGAGGATACATAGACCATTTTCAGCAAATGGTCTTAGAAAAATTAGATTCCATATTCAAGAAAAAAAAAAAGAGTCTGGACCTAAACCTCACACCTTATATGAAAATTAACTCAAAATGGGTCATAGATCTAAATGTTAAACATAAAACTCAAAAACTTTTAGAAAACATTGGAGAAAGTCTTTATGACATAAAGGTAGTCTGAGTTCTCGACATAACACCAAAATAAAGCACAATCAATTTAAAAAGAACTGATAAATATGATTTCATCAAAATTTTCCTCTGCAAAGAAGCAGGAAAAGGGCGTAATAATATGTGGATACCACACTTTTGTAAAACAAAAAAAATTTACACAAAAATTGTGTAAATGTAATTGTGTTTTGGTACCCTTGAATGGTGCCTGAGGGTGGACTGTAGAGTTAATGTGGACTCGACGCCCTCCTTTGGTGGTTGAATTTTTATGGGCATCTCTTACTTATAAACAAAGTCCTAAACCACAGGCAGCTTTCAAATGAGCAGCTGGCTGGAAAAGCCATGCAGAGGTGAGGGTTGATTCCTCAGATTCCTCCCAAGTCTAAAATCCTAAGATTTTATGATTAAATCCTACCTAAGAATGAAGGATTCCCCAAGTAAGAAAAAGTTTGCCATTTTTTAATTAAGTTTTAGAATCACTAAAATAAGATTCTTAAAGCCCTAATGTCATACCAGTGCCTTCTAATGGATTCAAACCTTGATGAATGCTGTTTATTCTTTATCTTGAGTCACTTGATTTTTAAGTGGCTAGTAGACTCTTTCAAGTGTATTTTCTTAAAGAACCTTAAGTGGGTTCCCTTCTTTTGCAGAGCGGATGCAAGTGCAGTCCATTTAATGGACCACAGTCCAGAAAGCTTAGTCTTCAGATGAAGTCTGATTTTCATTCTTAACCAGCCTGAACTCTGGGTTAGTGGAGTACAAACGTGAATCTAGCTAATACAACTAACTGCAAATAAGGCACAGCTCCTTAAAAGGAAAGGGTAGATCCAAGAACAGTGCTGGATTTACTGCACAGTTAATAAAACTTAAGCTCAAGGATCCTCACCTGTGCACAGCCTTCCAAGGGCCTATTGGGGCCCTAACGATGTATTCATGTTTTTTGTAATTTGCAAAAGAAAGATATTTTGGCCACAATCAACAAAAACATCTCTTTCCACTTTGACTTCCCTTCTGTCACATTTCTCTGTCTGATGAATGGCAACAGAGGAACTGTAGACATTTTGGGGATTTGATTAAGGGGATAAAGAGTTAGGGTTAGGTTTCAGTTGAATTTAGTGGGATATGTTTTTGTGGTTTGCAGCAGCTCTGTGTGTAGTTAATTACTGTTAGCCCTACGAGTGCAGAAATGGCTTTAGGTAGACTCCTACAGCTCACTGTGCCAATTCACTTGCTGAGGGGACATGAAAATCTAAACCAGAGGTGATGTTACACAATGTGAATGTGTCCATTGGGCTCTGATGCTGGGAGTATTAGATGGAGTAAGGACAACAAGGTTTGAAATGTACAAAATCAAAGGTGTTCTGTGGAAAATTCCTCCAAATCTTATATCTTCTATATGAAATAAATTATATAGGTGTTTTCCTGAATTTGACAACAATCCCTAAAAATGTAGACAACATTATCAATAATGAGTCATAAAGCTGAAATAAACTTTTCTAATTTACCAGTAATAAAACTTTTTGATCAAACATGCTAGAGGAAAGGCAGATTTTTCTATTTTTTTTTTTCATAGAAAATATTACAAAATGGCCAGGCGTGGTGACTCACGCCTGTAATCCCAACACTTTGGGAGGCCAAGGCAGGAGGATCACGAGGTCAGGAGATCAAGACCATTCTGGCTAACATGGTGAAACCCCATCTCTACCAAAAACACAAAAAATTAGCCAGGTGTGGTGGCACATGCCTGTAGTCCCATCTACTCAGGAGGCTGAGGCAGGAGAAATGCTTGAACCCGGGAGGCAGAGGTTGCAGTGAGCCGAGATCTTCTACTGCACTCCAGCCTGGGCGACACAGAGACTTCATCTCAAGAAAAAGAAAATAAAAAGAAAATACTACAAAATTATTGCTCTATTAATATGAAGAAGCAATCAATGGATGTGTAGCTGCAAAACCTCAGGGGAAGCATATTGCAGAGGTGTACCAGAGAGTTAATTAAACAATTGCTATTTTTCTAGATTTTGTGACATTTATGGTATCCTTAAGTATTTAAGCCTTGCAATTTGTTGTGATTTCTTTTTCTCATTCTACATATATATTCACTTTCAGATTTAATTTTGTGTTCTTTTTCTTAAAGAGGTTTGCCCAAATTGTGTAAACTTCAAGTCCCACAAAATCTGGATCCCTGCATATGAGCTGTTAAATATTTAGAAATAAGATAAAGCTTTTCCTTTTGGTTAAGAATTCTTAATAACATAGTCAAACAGAATCGTGGTTTACTTTGTCCAAGATCTGACCTCTGTGATGGAATTGGTAGCTCTGGGGTGTCAGAGCTGAGCACAGTGACAGACATGTCGATTCATCACCAATCACCCAGCAGGGAGGAAATCTGGGTAGAATCTGGCACCTAGTATGGATTTCTGTTCCAAAAAAGAAATCTTCCACAAAGAAGGTCTACTGAAATGACCTGGTGGAGTTTTTATCTAATTTTAAACAGGAAAGACTGAGGTTGTTCAGAGAAGTGTGAAACACTGGATTGGGGATATCTAAGTTCAATTCACCTAGGTTTGGTTTTCCCACTGTAAAGGAAAAGTTCAGTTAGGTTGACCCAGTGGAGGATGTTGAAGATACTCCCCTATCTTGCTGTCTCTTCTGGTCCTCTGTCAGTGACTGAGTACTGGGCTGGGTTGATGGATGTTATGGGAGATCCTGTGGTCTATGGGGCTAGCAATCCCTGACATAATCTTGTAACAGTTTCTCTCCTTCACAAGAGCAGATGGGATTCAGACCCTAGGATTGTCATTCTTAGGCAAGCTGTGTCAACGTCGTGGACCTTTTCCTGAAGAAACAGATATTCCATGCATACATTACTCCTTAACCCATTTACTTGTAATCCTGCTTGCTTGGTCTTCTTGGTGTATATGCCCGCATTAAAAGATTAATTTGTCCTTTTATATCTCAAATAAAGGAAAGGAGAGTTATAATTCGGCTTCACCATGGGCCCACAATTTGGCGTCAAGGTCAGTAATAAAAAAATGGTCAGAACACCACCTCTGTTTGCTGGACTGGCCACCTATAGGTCCCCACAGCAAGAGGTCCCAGGTTTCAAGAAAGCCCCTTCTGTCCTCTCTGAGCTCCCAATCCTGAAAGAGTCTAGGAGTCTGCACAATTCACATGATTGAAGACCCCTTCCTCTGAGCTAGAGTCAGGGTGGTTAATACCTGGATATTACTTAGCACTGCATTTCATAGGGAATAAAACGTGTGTGGAAGCCTTTAACTGGTCTCTGATGCTAGATGACCTGGAATTTCCGTTTCAGTTTGATCAAAAGAATCAGAGTACAATATAGTCCAGAAAAGTAAACTGTTCCTAATTTTAGCGGTTCTGATAAAAATGGGCCACTGTCTGAATTATCAAGTAATTCTTTTATTTGGCTGTCTAGGTTTTTTTGAGGATTCAGTGATGAAGTCTGTACTCCAGGATAACTATGAGAGAGAACAATGGGAGAGAATGACAGGAGGATCTTGGCTGTAAGGTGGAGCGGGACAATGGCAGGTCTGACCCCAGCTTCTTTAAACAAAGGCATTGCCCAGAGGCCATAAAGTATTCCTGGTGCTGCGAATCCGTGAGCTCTCATCTTTCTTTAAACTTTTAAATTTTTTTCATTTCTGGATAGAATGAACTTGAAGAATCAAGTACTACATCACAGTCATGCATACACATGGACATACGGAGGTGGGTTAGCAAAGCAAATAGTCCCATACTTGATGCTGGTTTGAGGCTACTCCTGAAAGAAGCTACATTTCAGGTAAAGAAGGACTTCTCTCTCCTAGTTCACCCAAATTCATAATCAAGTCGTTAAAAAGAAGCAAAGTCAAGGGTTGGTGACTTTTTTTGATGCCCACATCCTTCTATTCCAAAGAGGATCCTAAAGGAACCGGCTGAAATGCTTTTTCTGCAAGCATTGGTTCTCCTGCCCTGAGCATTTTCATCCAATCCTCCCTGAATCCAGTGCTCACTCTCTTGTAATGAGACCTGAATTGTATTTCCTTTGTTTCATCATCAGCATATTTCATGATTTTTCTTTCTAATGGCATCAGGAACTGCTTTTCTCTATGCCTGGTAAAGGTATCGGTCTTTTCATTCTCCTCAGAAGCTGTACCAAAGCTGACAGTCTGTGAGGTTCCAACCATTTGGTTGTGGGAGCTCTCCTACTATAGTGATAGCTGTCTCTGTGGGACCTGGTGCTTGCTCAGGCCTATGAATGGACACTCACTACCTCTGCTCTCATTGTACCCCACCTTTTTCCATGTCGGATTTGATCTGTGCCTCCAGATCCTCTGGGGACATGTAGAAGTCCTCTTCTGGCACTGATGACTTGGGCCGGCAATGCCCACAGCAGCAGTTGCAGCAGCAGCACAGGCAGCAGCAAAAATAGCAGCCTGTCAAGAGGCCAACGATGACAAACAGGGCCTAGGGAAACAGAGGCAAAGCAAAATGAGGATGAGGGGTGATGCGGTGAGGGGAGAACCCATGAAATCAAGTCTGCACCCAGTTACCCCCAGAGACCTGAAGACTTCACAGTTCACCCCACAGGCCACATCTTCACCCTCATCCTTACTCCACATAAGAACGATTTCACTTCCTTGGAAATCAATTTCCTGGTAAAGTTTTGCCTAATAAATTAGACCCAGAGGAAATGACTTGTAGCCAAAGTAATAAAGTATGGAGTTTCTTTTTTTATTCTTAAGCTATATGGTGATCATTATTAAGAGCAGAGCAAAGCGAGACAAAAACCAAAAAACCAACCAACAAAACCTCTGCAGGTCAAATGAGTTAGCAAGCCCCCTGCCCAGAGGAACTGAATCATCCTCACCAGAATGATAAAGAATGAACTTTCCAATACCTCCCCCTCCTACACTCACATTCCTACTGGTCACCAAGTCCTGGAGAGCTTCTCTCCTCAAGTCTCTTGTATCCTCCCTCATGCTTTTATCCTGGCCAGCAGGGCTTCAGAACAGACCTTCAGTATGTCTAGTCTGGACACTTCAGCAGCCTCCCAACTGGCCTCCCTGCCTCCCCTCTGGCGTCCCTCAAATCCATGCTGTGCATTGCTGATAGAGTGAACTTTCTGAAATACATGTTCTCTTGAACCCATGCAATGGCGCTCCTGCATCTGAGATACAGCCAAGTTCCTTATGATGGTGATCTGGCTCTGCCAATGCCTCCCTGCACCAGCACAGCCCCGTTCTTGCCTTTCCTTGCCTTATAGCTCTGCTCTCCCTGTGGATTCATCTGTCTGGACTTCCACCTCCCAGTTCCCCAGTCACCTAACAAAATATCCACCTGGTGTGTAAGACTCATCTTAAAGATCCCTTCTATGACATCTTTCCTGATCCTGCCCCAAACAATGACTCCCTCCTTTGTCCCCAATTGCGTTTCATGCAGACTTCTACTTTGGTGCTTTTTTTAAGTGATATTTTTAGAACATTGATCAGTTTATAGATCTGTCTCATTGGACTAGACCATGAGCTTCCTGCAAGCTGGCACTGTCAGCTAGTCATCTTTCAGTTCCTCCTACTGAAGGACTTAGTGCCTGATATGTGTTAGATGCTTATAAAATACCAGCTGAATTAATGATTGTATCAAGTAATAAACAGACAAATTATTTGCTCTGCCTGGTGAACAGCAGCAGGATTTCCCCCAAAACATAAAAGGTTTGCTCGCTGTTTGTTATAGCTAAAAATTAAAAGAAACTCTCAACTCCTCCAATGTGAAGTTATAAAAAGTCAGTTTTTGTGAATTGAGCAAAACAATTTATGATTTTTATCAAAAATATGCAATTTGGAGTAGAAAGAAAGGGGTTTATACACCTCTAATTAAAACACAGATTTTGGCCGGGCGCAGTGGCTCAAGCCTGTAATCCCAGCACTTTGGGAGGCCGAGACGGGCGGATCACGAGGTCAGGGGATCAAGACCATCCTGGCTAACCCGGTGAAACCCCGTCTCTACAAAAAAACAACAAAAAAAAAATCCAAAAAAAAAAAAAAAAAAAAAAAACACTAGCTGGGCGACGTGGCGGGCGCCTGTAGTTCCAGCTACTCAGGAGGCTGAGGCAGGAGAATGGTGTGAACCCAGGAGGCGGAGCTTGCAGTGAGCTGAGAGCCGGCCACTGCACTCCAGCCTGGGCGACAGAGCCAGACTCCGTCTCAAAAAAACAAAAACAAAAACAAAAAAACCCACAGATTTTATCTAATTAAGGGAGCAAGAGGGATAAAGAGGACTTGTACTTCTTCAATAACTTCAGGTAGAAATCTTTAATGCTGACAGCCCTCACCTGCCCCACTCGTGCTTCGTAGCCCTGGACTTCATCTCTGACTCTGGCCCCAGGTGTGAGGTGGAGACTCTGGTGCCTTGGAGTAGGGGAGCTTCAGTCACATCCTCAAATATATAATCTCTTCGCTATGGAGAATTTACATTTTCGTAGTCTTAGGTAAATCACTCTGAAAACAACTACAACACCCGCCACCTCACTGTCTCCACACCCTCCTGTGCAGTGTTCTTGAGCCATTGCCCCACGAAACTCCTCCCTTTTTTTAGTTATTTTTGTCTTTTTTGTTTCTACTATGCAATTCCCATATTGTTCTCTTCTCTGAACTTTTCTTTTCATTCATATACTGTTTTGTTCTTTATTCCAACTGTTTGCCTTCTGTGGAAATAACCTTGCTTTATCCCTTACAGTGCTTAGTACAGAACTAGGCACAAGTAGATGTCTAATATTTTTACAAATAGTAACTTTGTGGTACACTGATTCATTCATGTCATGCATATTTAACACATGATTGCTACATGCAGGGCCACTCTGATGGGCGCCGTGAAACTGGGCTTTGGTACAAGGAGAAGGTAAAGATATGTTTTTTGTGGTCTCATGTTTAAAGAACCACACCAGGAATTATGTTGTGTATCTCTCACACTACTGGGCAGATTCTGCTTGTTCATATTAATTTTGATCAATTTTGTCAGCTTCCAGAGCAAGGAAATTTATTCTCATTTTTATGCAGGCAGGCCCTGATGTGCCATCAGATGGATATGTGTAATTATCTGGACCTGCCTCTGTAGTATCTTCCCATGGAACAATGTCACGCCCAGAGGTTTGGTTCCCAAGCAAACCCACAAAAGCTTGTACGGTCCTATGAACATTCAATCTATTGTCATAAATGACATTGTCAGTGTGTACACTCTCATTCCAAATTCCAAATCTTCTCAACAGGAACTTGTCTCTCCCCTAAGTCTTCAACAATAGAGAAAGGGGTTTCAAATGGGAATCCCAGGTATCCCCGAGAAACAGAACTCTGAAGACTGTAGTAAGCAAATTAGGCTAGGTTGCAAGAATCCTTTTGCATGCTGATGTACAAAAACATATTCTCTCTCTTCCTGCATACATAAAACTCAATTTAGCAAGATTTAGTGGAAAAAAATAGCAATCAGATACTACTATTAAACCTGCCTTTTTAGATATTTAATAATTATTATTATGTATTGGAACTTATATGAATGTGAACTGTCCACAAAATATGTTGATGGACTACATGTATGACCCATGTGTAAATATACTTTTATCAGAAGATAAGGATATTAATATTCACAAACAAGTAAAAACCATCACCAAACATATATATATCAGAGATTCCTAGGAAACCAAACAAAATTTACCACACAAAAGTCAATTCTGATTGCACTAAGCCCTTAAAAATGTCGCCTTTTTCTTGACTAGGTATCCATTTTGCTCTCTGTCCCCCTGTCTCTGCCTTTCCAATTCCCTGTCCTCCACTAGTAAATTCTCACATTTTCCCCCTCATTTCTTTCTCCTCTACCTCACAGCAGGCTCCAAGTGAGTCTCTGACATAATTACCACTCATTCTCCCCAGTATTGTGTTTGCTGATGTAGCCTATGCTATAGATAGTAAAGGACATGGCTAAATTTGCCCTATAATAATTTGTTAAGCACTTGTCACACTAATAAATTATTTTTGGTTTTGAGCAATGAGTCAGTCCTTAATTAGTCATTATAAAGAGTTAATCTGAAGCTCCAAATTCAAATATAATTAATGTCTAGAAGTATTTTAAATCATGTTGTATCTTACAATTATTTGTTGAGCTAAACCAGAAATGATCCTAAATAATAGCACTCAGTGGAAGCAGTATCTCCTTTTATTTACCAGAGTTTAATAGCAGGAAGGTTAGACTTCCTTTGAGATGGAATCTAAAAGAGTGATTAATATCATGGTGTTACAGGAGATTGTTTGTGAAGAAAGGAAATTCAGATTCACCTTTGCCCACCAGCTCGACAGCATGAAGTAGGTGTTAACATTTTCGTCTCCAAACTGCTCGGCTACGTAGAGTCCCAGCGATCCGTACTTGTCGTATATGCTTCTCTTTGAGATGTCAGTAAGTATTGCGTGGGCGTTGTTGATTTCTTTAAACTTCTCAGTAGCAGCTGGATCATCTGGATTCTTGTCTGGATGGTGTTTCAGGGCCAATTTTCTTTTAAAATAAAAGAAAACAAGGAAAGTGTAATTTGACAAGAATGAACGATGACGGCATTTTAGAAGGGCACTGTTCATTTGTATATTCTTTATTAGTGCAAATACTGTGAAATGGTAAGTTTCAGACTAGCGGTGATTGACAAGTACATTTTCACTAAATGGTGTCCCTTGTTTCGAGTGCACAGGCAAAATAGTACTAATTCTCCCCTCACATTTCCAGAGGAATTCTCAGTATCTGCACGACTGTTGAGCCTGAGAGACATTTGTTGTCGGCAAATCCGCAAAGTGTCTTTTCACCACGAAGCTATCAGTAGCCCACCCCTACAGACCTTTAAGAGTTTCAGCAACAGGATCAGTTTACACCAAACTTCCATTTAGAACCAGAAGAATTTTCCACAATTAACAGAACGTCACAACATATATTCTAAAAGTTCAACTCGGCTATCAAAAAAGTCTCTCTTGAACAAAATTAAGACCGCTTCATCAATCTTCCACAAGCCCTGACTATCTCTTGGTTTTCTGAACAAATACTGTGACTTCCTTTGCATTCAAATGCATATTTGGCCTCTTTCTAAATAGGTCTTTCCACTTAATAATCTATATAAATTTTCTTGTGGGCATAAGGCCTTCTCCTCTGTGGATCAGAAAGCAATTCCTGAGGGACCCTGCTGGAAATTCCACCTGACTCATCTCCCTACTGTGCCTATCATACATCTATGTAGGAACACACCTTAAGCTTTTGTTTATTGTATTAGTTTAGATCAAATTGTTTCATTTTAAACAGTAATGTAAGTCCAGAAGTAAAGCAGAAAAGTAAAGTACACTTTATAAATCAATCTGTATGATAAACAGAACAAATCACATCTATTTTAGGAACTAAAGTATTATTGATTAGGAAGTAGATGAATATTTAAGGAGCTCAGCGTCAGGATGCTTTAAATTACCAAAATATTTAAAAGCATAAATCATGATGGATAATCCATTCTAATCCTAAACTCGGAATAAATTTTTAAAAATCAAACAATGATGGTTCATCTTAAATTTATTGAACCAAAACTTTTTTTTATCCTTTTTGAAAGATATCTGGGGTATTTATAAATTCTTATAGATAGGACCATTGGAGACATGTTTTCTTACATACAGAATTTATAATGAAATATTTGCTAATAGCATAAAATGCCTTTTGTCATTTTTTTACTTTTATGTTTATTTCAGCACTATTGTAAGCATGCTAGAAGTATTAATTTATGAATCCTCACAACAACCCTATGATATGGATATTATAATTATTTTACAGATGAGGAAATGTAGGCACTGAGAGGTTAAGTTAGTTGCCCAATAGCCACACAGCTATTGATGATAATTTATAGAAGGCTTTGAACACAGGCAAGCTGACCTTGACCGCATGCTCTTAACTGCCACTATGCTGCTTCCTATATTTATATTTTTAAATTTAAAAAGCAAGACACATAGAATGTTGAGTAGACCATTGTGAGGATGTTGGCTTTAGTCTGGGTCATGTGGCAAGTCATTGGAGTGTGTTGGGAAGAAGAGTGATATGAACAGACTTTAGCTTCAGAAGGATCACTCAGTCTTGGAGAGGACAAAGGCAAAAGTGGGGAGACTCTTTCAGGAGGTTCTTGTAGTGATCCAGGCAAAAGTTCATGGTGGTGTGGACTAGTGCAGAAGTGAGGATATAGTGAGAAGTGGTTGGATTCTGGAAGTATTTTAAGGGCTAGCTAATGGATTGTATATATGGTGGCAGTGAAAAAGAAGAATCAGAATGGTACCAAAATTTTGACCTGAGCAATTTGAAGTTTGGAGTTACCATTTAATGAGATGCCAAGAGATTTCTTTGTCGCTCTTTCTCTCTCTCTCTTTCTTTCTTTCTTTCTTTCTTTCTTTTTTCTTTCTTCTTTCTTTCTTTCTTTCTTTCTTTCTTTCTTTTTTCTTCTTTCTTTCTTTCCTTCTTTTTTTGTAGTTGGGGAGTGGTTTGGAAGTTCTATTCTGGACACCTTTGAGATGCCTATTAGACTTTCAAGTAGAGGTAGAGAGAAATAAGTCTGAAGCTCAGGCAAGATGTACATGTGGGAGTTCTCAGCAGGTAGATGATGATATTTAGAACCAGGGAATAAAAGAGATTCCCAAGACAGTGAGTCCAAGAAGTAGAATAACTGAGCTTTGGGAAAGGAAAATCAGCAAAGGACACTTAAAAACAAAGGTCAATGATACAGAAGGAAAAGCCCAGAGAGTGGGGGTTCTTGGGAACCAAGCAAAGAATATAGTTCAAGGAGGAGGGTGATCATAATGTGTCAAATGCTGCTCACAGGTCATGGCAGATGAAGACTAAGAATTGACCACTGGGCTGGGCATGGTGGCTCACACCTGTAATCCCAACACTTTGGGAGGCTGAGGCAGGTGGAACACCTGACATCAGGGATTGAAGACCAACATGGTGAAACCCCATCTCTACTAAAAATACAAAAATTAGCTGGGCCTGGTGATGGGTGCCTATAATACCAGCTACTTAGGAGGCTGAGGCAGGTGAATCACTTGAACCTGGGACACAGAGGTTGCAGTGGGCCGAGATTGCATCATTGCACTCCAGCCTGGGCAACAAGAGCAAAACTCTGTCTCAAAAAAAAAAAAAAAAAAAAAAAAAGATTGACCACTGAATTTAGTAATGAAAATTATTTTTGGTGGCCTTCACACACACACACACACTCACCCATGCATGTGCACACACATGCACACAATTACATATATGTCTATATATAGGAAAAAATAAAACAGAAAAGTAAGCAGAAAATGGAAAGTTATAACCAAAATTAGCAATGTATATAGTTGCACATTGGGATTACAGATTCAGTTTTAGTTATTTTTGTTAAACTAAGACTTAGTTTTCATTAGCTAAGTTTAAACTAAAAACTGAAGCTGGATGTGGTAGTTTACACCTGTAATCCCAACACTTTGGAAGGGCAAGGTGGGAGGATCATTTGAGGCCAGGAGTTCGAGACCAGCCTGGGCAACATAGCGAAATCCTACCTCTACAAAAAAATTTAAAAATTAGCTGGATGTAATGACACATACCTGTAATTTCAGCTACTTGGGAGGCTGAGGTGGGATGATTACTTGAGCACAGGAGTTTAAGGCTGCAGTGAGCTATGACTTGTACCATTACACCCAGCCTGGGCAACAGAGCAAGCCCCATTTGTAAAAATAAATAAACTAAAAACAGGTTTTTGTGAAACTTCTAGTTTTGTTATAAAAACTCTGCATATTACTTGTGTAACTTTTCCCCTGAACATTTTAAAGCTTTAGTCACAGATTTTGTTCTCTTTGAACAGTTGGAAGTTCAGAATTTGTTTCCTTGAATGACTCGTTACCAAGGAAGGAAAATCTACAAAGCAAGATTTTTTTAAAAAAAGGAAGAAAGGAAGAAAAGTCCTCAAACTGCAACAATACTATGTTGGTCATCAAAAAGCCTTAAGTGGATACCTTAAGCATGTTAATTCTAATGGCTTAATATTCCTGGAATTCTCACTCTGGGCCCTGAAATATGAATTGCAGCATTTCCCCTCCATGGTTCCAAAGATCATGTCTCGGCCAATTAAATGAAAGGGCTGTCACTTCTGCCTTGAAAGAAAGAAATCTCCAGGTGGGCAGATCACTTGAGGTCAGGAATTTGAGATCGGCCTCGTCAACATGCCTGTCTCTACTAATTAGCCAGGTGTGGTGGCACACGCCTGTAATCCCATCTACTTGGGAGGCTGAGGCAGGAGAATTGCTTGAACCCGGGAGGTGGAGGTTGCAGTGAGCCAAGACTGCATCACTGCACTCCAGCCTGGGCGACAGAGTGAGACTCCAAATCAAACAAACAAACAAACAAACAGGAAGGAAGAAATCTCTGGAAAATGCCTCTTTACATACATTTTCTTGTTTCTAGGGCTGCTTCCTGTCATTTTTTAAGCAACTTGGATCTTTGTCAGCTCACAAGGGCAGATGCACCCAATCCATTTATCACACTCCTAACAATGGAGTTGGCAAATTAGGAGAGCTGGAACACCTCCACTTGTAACACATCCAATTCCTGGTCATCAGCAACATTTTGATTCCTCTTGGCAGATACTCTTGGCTCTGAGGAATCCTCGGGAAACATGGTGAGCAGAGACAGCTGCCAAAATTCCACAACCGTCAAGGAGGTGGTCGTACAATGCCTCGCCCTCTTGCGTGTTATCCATAGAGCAAGGAAACAACTATGGAATGTAGGGTTTAAGGAAGTGCTTGGAGTATTTTTAAATAGAATAGGCACCTATCCATTGTTAAGGGTATTTGTTGTCATTTCTACATTGATACTTAAAGTGACATAATATTCAACCAGAATGTGAGCCTTTAATTCTAAATGTCTCTACACTCTTGGTCACCTGTCAATGTGGCATGGCTGTAGCTAATATTAGAAACAGCATTCAATGCCTCTAATTCCTACTTCAGAATCTAATGACAGCTTTCAACTAAAATGCATAGTGAATTTAATTAGTGGCAGATAAGATAAACATGTGGTTTATAGTTGTAATTATCTAAAGCCCTCAAGATCTTCCTATTTTGAGGCAGTAGCATAATTCTAAGAGTTACGATGTTTTGCTCCATTATCTTCCTTGCCCCATCTAACACTTAAAGATGCAATCAAATTACTACTACCTACCACTCTCTACCAGTCTCTGAGTCACCTGAGGCCTGATTCTAACCATGATGTCCCAGCTCTTAAAATATTTTAATATTTGTCAATCTCGCGGTTTATATGAGGCTGTTATACATACCATTTGGATATTCTCTAAGTGTATTTTAGTCCTTTACAGATTTTTACTTTGGTTTTTAAAATTAATTTGTGGTATTTTAAAAATGCATATTCTAGATATGAATTCTTTGTCAGTTTTATGTATTGCATATATCTTCTTCCATTCTGGGGCTTTCTTGTTGTTTTACTTTATGGTATCTCTT